GAAGCTCGGGGAATTGTTTCAACCAGTGGACGAAGTCCTGGGGGCACCAGCTTTTCAACAAGGGAGCATGTAAGAGGACTGAGACCCTTGCTGCTGAAGGCCGGGGACGGCAGCCTTCAGTATGGATGGCAGCTCCCTGTAAAGAAGACCCAAATCCTCACCGCCGGGCCCAGAGGCAGCAACGTGGAACAGGGAGAGAAGGTCAGGTCGAAGTTGCCAAGGCTTTTGTTTCTCTTGGATCCGCGTGAGTGCGCATGGAAGCCGCCGTCAAGAGATCGCACGATGCATCGCACTGGGTACCCCCGCTGCACAAGACCCCGATCAAGTGTTGAAGAGCACGTGCTCCGTTGAGGATTGAGGCGCGCTGGACACAGCCGTTGTACTTCAATTGACTCCTGTGCTTGTGACATTTGGACACTGAGTAAGGAAGACCAGGGGAGAATCCGTGCAGGTACATCGTGGTGCTGGCAAGGAATACTGATGTACTGTGGACTGCTCAGAGAACAGGCAAATGTGTCCTTGGAGGCAGGGGAGCCAGAACACCCTCCGAAGCAAGGAGGGCGAGATTTCCATCCCGCGTTCATCTTACCAGGACAGACGAGTCCCTGGAGGGCAGCGGAAAAGAAGGCCGTCGATGAGATGGACTGCCACAAGAGGCTGAAACCTAGCAACAATGGTGAGGCGGGTGCAGGACCGGGCCATGGTTTGCTCTGTTGCTATGAGTTGGATCTGACTCCCGCACCCCTGAGCCCCGAATAAAGTCTGCGAACTTGGCTCGGCCGTGAGCCTATCTTCCATGTGGCGATCTGAGGTGGTCCTCTTGTGTGCCTGGAAGCCTCACCTCTCTGGGGTTAATGAGAGATGGGATTCGAGGCGCTTCGGTTCGTGAGCTAGGAGGTAACCTACAGGATCCCTTATGAGATATAAAAGGAATTCAAGCAAGCAGGCAGAAATCAGAGGAATCTCCTCCCACTGAGAAAGAAGAGTTGGGAAATTCCTAGCCCCAGGGAGAGACACCGAGGGACAGGGTCCCCCGATTCAGCGCTTTGGGTTAGGACCTCTCACCTCCGGAACCATCAGAGAGCACACCTCTATGAGTGAAGGCCACTCACGGGTGGCCGGAGAGAACCAAGACACCCGTGCTGCCTTCCCACAGGATGTCCTTGATGGCATCTCGAACCAGCCTGGTCGCAGGCCGGCCGTTCGCATTCCGTGTGTGCCCACTCCACAGAAAGGGGGCCCGACAAAGTGCAGACAGTGTCACACACCATCGCCCCGAAGGCGTTCGGTCCTAACAGTGGCATCTCCAGTCCCCCGAGTGAAAGCAGCTTACACACGGCTGCAGCGGGACAGAGGCAGGGGGCCTGCCAGAAACTCACGCCCGGTCGAGAGGGGCGCGCGGAACGAAGGGTGCCGTGGCTGGCATCTGCTGGACTGCAGCTGTTGGCAGAGACTAGCTTGTCTGTGCCCCATAGACCACGCAGCGACATCCTATGGTGCGGTCACAACCCACCTGAGAGCACTGAGCGAAAGGGCAATCCCAGAGCACACGCCGGCGCTCCTCGTGTGAACCTGTGCGCGGAGCAAGACGCGGTCCCTCGCACAGAACAAGGGGAACACTGCACGGCTCAACATCAGGAGCGATGTGCCTTGGGGTTGCCTCCTCTCGGGAGACTTACTCGGTTTGTGTTGAGCAAAGCATCCGGCAGGCTGGACCACATGCCAAAGAGCATGGCATTAGGATGGGAGGAAGGCTCAGCGGGTAGAGGAGTTTTGGGGACTCAAATCCAGGTTTGACCCCAAGACTCACACTCCCAACGGGTACAGTTCACGACCTCTCTTGGGTGAATGATGTAGATGCTATCCGGCGAATAATGGGGGGGCAGCGAACAAGGAAGAGCAAAGAAGAACCCATGTAGTTGAATCGGGGTGCGAGAGGAGAATGTCAAGGTGCCACGGACTGCTGAAAGCACAGAGACCCATCTGTGTTGGAAGAAGTCAGGCCGGCGTGCTCCTTAGAGGCGAGGAAGGCAAGATTTTGGCTTACATACTCTGGACATGTTGTCAGGAGAGACCCGTCCCTGGAGAAGGACCTCGTGTTTGGTCAAGAGGAGGGGCAGCAAAGGAGGAGAAGGCCCTGGAGGAGATGGACGGGCACAGGGACGATTGTCAGGATGGCTTGTGAGGATGGTGCAGGGCCGGGCGGTGTTTCTTCTGTTGTGCAGGTTGTGACAGACACCCCCCCACCCCCCACCCCCGTCGTCGGTCAGTGGTGGCTGCCTGCTGCTGTGAAACCGGAAGTCCTGCCGTCAGTATTTCAAACACCAGCGGGATCGCTCAGGATGGGGAGGTCCCAACGGAGCTCCCAGACTAAGACAGGCTAGGGCTGGCAGTGGACTGGGGGGAAAACTGCGTGGCCCCCAAGAAACAGTGTCCAATATGTCGCCCATCCCGATGATGGTGCATGGCTGGCCACGCTGTGTTCTGACCCTAAGCGGGTGGTGACTAATGGCAGCGAGCCGCAGACGTAGAAACACCCAGCGGTCACCAGCTCTGCTTCTCTGGGGACCCCTGGGTAGGACAGATAGCAGATGGCCCCTTATCTTCACCCTGGAACGGAGGGTTCGTTTCAAGAGTCTCACCCTCGGGGGCCCCCCTTGCGGTGGGCTCTGCCGCCTCTCCCTGGCCCTGCCCTTCCAGCGGTCTCCCTCTGACAGTGGCCGCCTTGAAGTCATTTTCCACCCGCCGTGGGTGCAGCCCCCTCCCCCTGGGAGAAGCCTGTGCGGGGTCGAGGGGTCGGGGCATCCCAGGCTCACTTCTCGATGGTGTAGGTGTAATTGTCCTGCAGCACCACGGGGTCCAGGACGCCTTTGGAGCAGGCAGAGAAGTTGCTGCAGGCAAGGAGAAAGGGTGAGAAACTCCAGCCCCGAGAGAAACCCCCAGACGCCTCACAGGGCGCGGCTTTGACGGAACAGAAATGTGGTTCCTTGTATAGAACTCGAGCCTGGGGCGCTGGCTCTGTCAGCTCTGGGGAAGGTCCTTGTCTGCCGCGGGGCCATGTTCCTTGGGGGCAGGGGTCCTCAAGCTTTTTAAACAGGGGGCCAGCTCACTGTCCCTCAGACCCGTTGGAGGGCCGGACTATAATAAAAAAAAACACCTATGGACAAATTCCCATGCACACTGCACATATCTTATTTTGAAGTGAAAAAACAAACAGGGCAGAAACACCCGGCGGGCTGGATAAATGTCCTCGGTGGGCCGCATGTGGCCTGCGGGCTGTAGTTTGGGGACGCCTGCTCTAGGGTGTTCTGTTACACACACACGTGCTTGCTTCTGAGCCTGACCTGCTCACCTACTCAAAGGCGAGTGGTTGACACCCCCCCCCTTAGGTCCTCATTTTTCCCCTCCCTGCCCCCCCCCCCACCCCCTATTGTGCCTATAGGGCCCGGTGAACTTAACAAAGGACTACTATGCTCAGGTGGGATTTGGTCTAGCGCCCCATCCCGGCGGAGCCTAGACCCACTGCTGCTGCCCAGTCAGACTCTGACCCTGAGGGCAGCGGAGAACTGCTCCAGAGGGTTTCCCAGGCTCCAAACATTTGCCGCGGCAGCAGACCACCACGCCTTTTGCCCGGGGACTAGCTGGTAGGTTTCCAATTGCCCACTTTCAGTCCGCGGCCGAGTGCCTCACCACCATGCCAGCGGCAGGCTGACCACGCATATGTGGCGTGGGGGCAGGTGTGGTGAACAGAGTCCAATCTATTGCATGGAGACTGGGGAATGGGAACCCCTTGCAAAGGCTGAGCAAGTGGGCCACGCCCCAGTTAGGTCCCTCTGCATCCCACAATGCATGCCGACGCTGGTCCTGTGTTTGGGGGGCTGCTTTGGGCAGGAGCCCTGGACACACCCGGCCTATACTCTGGCCCTGGCCTGGCAGGCCCAAAGCCGGGGGTCCTGCAGCTTGGTGTCAGCAAGAATAAACCCCCTTGTCCCCTCCTGTGGACATTCCCATGGACCCCAGGGGCACAGTCCTCAAGTCCGAGGTCAGCGGTTGGCTCATAGGCCTGGGGCGAAGGCTGTGGTGTTCAGCTTCTGCGTCCTGGGAAACCCTAGGGGGCACTTCTGCCCTGTCCCCTGGAGAGGGGAGCGACAAGTCGGAACTGAGTTGCTGGCCAAGGAGGGGACTGGAGGGGACTGGCAGAAGGCCAGGGAAGCTCATTGGCCATGTTGGGGATGACAACAGGAGATGGTTGTGGCACTGGGCGGGCCATGAAGCTCTCCCCCTGCCACCGTGACCAGAGTCAGAAGAAAGGAAGGAAGGCCGTCCCATCTGGAGAGTGACAGGAGACTTGGTGTCGCATGGGGGTGGGGGGTGAGGAAAGGGGGAGGGAGAGGCTTCCCCCCACACTAGACACCTGGCAGGTCTGAGGTTCTGTGACCATCAGGTGTGACTTCGGTGGCGGAGAAAGCAGTTAACCGGGCTCCAGTGGAGTCGAAGGCGCCCATGCTCATGTCGGCCACCAGGTGGCGACAAACCAGGTGCCCCTCCCCACAGGGTGGCGGTACACAAGGGAGTGCGGGTGGCACCTTGGGATCCGATTGGGCCCCAAAAGGGAAATGGTGTTTCTGGTACATGCCACCGCCTGGGTGACCCTGAGCACACGCCACGTGCAGGGAGCCGGACCAGGACCAGGAGCCGGACCAGGACAAGGGCCGCCTGACCCAGCTCAGGGTGGGAGGAGGGTGCTGTTGTTACATGGGGCAGTCTGTTTGCACCCTTCTCCTTTTTCCAACCTTCCCTCCCTTTCTCTCTCCCTCCTTCCCTCCCTTCCTTCTATTCTTTAAAATAAATGTTGTTTAAACTCGATCAATGTGCCACAGAAGAATTGACCCCGGGGTCCATTTTCCTCTTCCTCCTCCGGAACCCTTCAGATCAGCATTCAGGTCTGAGGGTCAGGGACCTGGAGTGGCTTCTTTCCATGCGTCCTTCCCCTCTCCTCCCCTCTCTTTCCTGTCCTACTGGAAGTTTCCCCCACTTCCCGCCCACGCTAGCTTGTCTTGTGAAACTATTCTTGCTGGTGTGGGCTGTTGTCAGTTGCTATGGCGTCCACTCTGACTCTGTGACCCCATGTGTGCAGGTGCCACGGCTCCATAAGGGTTCAAGGCGGGGACATTTGGGAAGCAGACTACCAGGCCTGTCCTTGCAGGTGCCTCCGGGCGAATTGGAACTGGCTAACTTTTTGGCTGGTGGTTGGGCACGTAAAGTTTGCATCACCCAGCCACTTTCGCACTGATTCTGGGCACCAATCTGCCGCTGCTGAGATATGTGACTAGATTTCCTCTCCACCCTCTTCATGGCATGGGCTTCTTGCTTCTTGGTTTAAAAAACCTTGCTCACATATTTTTCTATATATAAGGGAGCTTCATAAAGCATGTGGGGAAAATGGAATTCAAGGATGGTGGGATGTCCCCACAAACTTTCTGAAGCTCCCGTGAACAATATATGAACAAAGCTTTCCTGTTCTGAAAAAATGAATGCTGGTAGGATCCTAGATCACCATCTAGGTGTGTGCTTGCCCTGGTGCAGTGCAAGGCTGGAGTTGGCACCAACTAGCTCCTGGGAGCTGGCAGTTCAATCTTTAGGAATTTTGTGGCTGACTGACACCTTATGCTTCTAGCATAAAATTAGCTCAATCCAACTCAACCCAAGTAAACCTAACCCAATCCAACCCAACCCATCCGATACAATTCAACTCAATCCAACCCAACACACCACGATCCAGCCCAAACCAACATAACACAATACAACTGAAGTAAACCCAATCTAATCCAATCCAACACAACTCAACCAACCCAAACCAACCCAATCCAATCCAACACAATGCAACACAAACCAACACAAACCAGCACAACACAGCACAATACAACACAACACAATCCAACACAAACCAACATAACACAATACAACTCAACCCAGCTCAATTCAAGTAAACCCATTCTGATCCAATGCAACCCAACCCAACCCAACCCAATGAAATACAACTCAACCCAATCCAACCGAACACATCACGATCCAGCCCAAAGCAAGACAACATAACACAATACACAATACAACTCAACACAACTCAACCTAAGCAAGCCCAACTCAACCCAACCCAACCCAACCCAACCAAATACAATACAACTCAACTCAACCCAATCCAACACAACACAACATGATCCAGCCCAAACCAACATGACACAATACAACTCAACCCAACTCAAGCAAACCCAACCCAATCCAATCAACACAACACAAACCAACATAACTCAACCCAAGTAAACCCAAACCAATCCAACCCAAACCAACCCAGTGTAACACAGCACAACACAACACAACTCAACCCACGTAATCCCAACCCAGACCAAGTGAAACCAACCCAAATAAGCCTAACCCAAGCAAACCCAAGTAAAACCAACCCAGTCCAACCCAAATAAGCCTAACCCAAACCAACCCAAGCTCACTGTTCTCTAGTCCCCACTCTACGGATATGCCATGCCACCGCTCAGACCTTTTCGAAGCAGTGACATTCACTTTTTATGTCATGGCACCTGCTACTTCTTAGCTGCCCATGGGGATTGCTAATTTGGAATATGACTGACCGGAGCACACCTGAATTGGGACTAGAGGAATCGGAGCTGGCCGTTACACATTCGCCAGCACATCTGCCTGAATGGAGAGGACATAGCAACATGGACGGTCTGCTCTCTAGGGTAGCCGTGGGTAAAATCCGCTGCCACTTAGTCTGTTCTAATGCGCGGCTGTAGATGCTGCGGGGCAACTGATTTTAGACATTTAAGCGAGAAAGGAGAAAAAAAAAAAACCTCAACAATTGTAATCAACATGAGGAATTAGGAGATGAAAAAGAGAGTACACCGTTAGGCAAAGAAATGTGAGTGGCGCCAATGTGAGTGGCGGAAGGTGAACAAATGTGCTACAGACTTAAATTCAAAGTCTTGCTACTAATTATTTACCTTTCATTATGAAGATGCTGGGCTGCTAGCACCAAGGTCAGCAGTTTGGAACTACCAACCGTTCTATGGGAGAAAGATGAGACTCTCTACTCCCATAAAGAGGTAGTCTTGGAAAGCCATAGGGCAGTTCTACCGTCCTACAGTGTCGCTATGAATCCCAGTGTGTTCTGATGGAGATGTTGAACAAACAGAAATGTAGATAGAATAACTGATACTCTTGTCTATGTATCCAGCACTCAATCCCATCTACACACTCCAAATTCTCTTGCTCCAGTATAGAGTCTCATCCAATCCCATCCATCTATACACTCTCAATTTCTTCTCCTCCAATGTTCTCCCCCTCTCATCCAATCCCATCCACCTCCAGATCCTCACAATCCCTTCTCTTCCAATATCCTCACATGCTCACCCAATCCCATCCATCCACACACCCTTACACGCCACTCCTCCAATATCTTTCCACTCTCACTCAATCCCATCCACCTCCACATGTCTCCTCCTACATTGGACACACTTACTTCTGAACGATGATCTTCTTGCCCAGGTCACATCCAATCGAAATGAGCGCCGTCTACAGAGAAGAGAAAGACAAACTCTGACCCAGGAGGCTCCCTGGGAGCCCAGCCACAAGGAAGGCCCATGTGAGGGTCAGTGTTTTCTTTACACTGAGTTGGAATCCGTACTGAAGGCTGCAATCTTTGATTTTCTTTTTAATTTTTTTGTTGTAATCCTTAATTTTCATCAGCAGGTACTTCAAGTCCTCATTTTCAGCAAGTGAAGTTATGTCATCTGCATATTGCAGGTTGCTAATAAGCCTCCCTTCAATCCTGTTGCTGAATGCGTCTGCATATGAGGGGGTACCTCCCCAAACTCTGGATTTGTTAATTTCCAAAGCTATGTATTTAATTTTTTTTTAACAAAGCAACCTTATTACCTTCAAAGTACTCTCTATGACACTTAATACATTTGTCAAATCTTCTATTCCATTCTTGGAAACATTTGTCAAACTCATCTGTTTGGATGGCTGACAGTACCTCCCTTTTTTTTTTCTTCATCTTTTCTACATCATCAATCGCTGTCCTTTCATGTTCCTCTTCATTTGAGGAAACAAAAAGAAGTTGCACGGGGTGAGGTCAGGTGAGTACAACTGGTGTACTGAGATGGCTGCGTGAGCAGGTGCACTGTTGCGGTGGGAAAACCAGTCCCCCGTCTGCCACAAGCCAGGTCTATTTCGAAGCACAGTGATATGCAATATTTTCAGAACCTCTAAATAGAACTCTTGATTAACAGTCTGACCTGGTGGAATGAACTCCAAATGCTCTACGAGAAGACATTTTTGTCTGTTTGGGACGATGACGGCTATTAAGAACAAGGTTTGTCATCAATCAACATTTCCCCTGTTTTGAAAAGATAAAGTCACTTCTTTTTATTTATTTAAGTCATTTCTACCGTTGAGTTTTCCCCATATCTTTATTTATTTAAGTCATTTCTACTGTTGAGCTTTTCCCATAGTGCTGCCCTTGTAAGCGGTGTTCAACGTCACAACAGTGTCTGCGGTGTGTTTCCTCCAGGAGCAAACAAAACTCCACAGCGCGCACTGTTCCCTTAAATCAAAAACCGAGGTTCAAGCAAAACGGCTCTGACGAAGACATTCACTGTGAGCAGAGAGATCCTTCCCAGGTGACGTCACTGTGTACACCAACTCAGAGCAAGTTGCTCGATGCTCACCTAGCAGGAAAATGTGAACTATGAAAGTTCTTCTCCACCCAGTAAAATTCCATTTTGGGGGGTTACCCCCTTGTATTCCCAAAATGAGTTACCATCTCGGAAACTCAGAGTGACCCTGTCCTGTAGGGAGGTGCCTCTATGACAGTGAAGGTCTTACTTTGTTTGTCTTGTTTTTCTTTTTCAGTGCAGCCTGGACTTCCTCCTTTAATGCCACTGGTTCTTGACCACATTTGACCTCCTGAAATGGCGGAACATTGGCCAGTTCCTTTTGGTACGGAGATGCAGCATATTCCTCCCACCTTCTTGTGATGCTCCCTCCATCCTTCAATCGTTTGCCCGCAGAATCCTTTAATTTGCAACTCCATTGCAGCCTCCAGTTCAGATCCTGAACGAGGAGTTGGCCAGCCCCTCAAAGGAAGCTGGCCTTGGTCTGCCACCATTTTCCTTTCATGACTTGGACCGGAGGCCAGTCAACATGGGACGTACCATTGGCTGGAAGTCCATGCAGGAGATTTCCTTGTTGGCCATGTCCACAGTGACAGAGGATAACGTGGGCCGTTTAATGCTGCAAAGGAGACGAGAGCGTGTAAGACTGGAGAGAAGCGTCACAGTAAGAAGACTTGGCTTCATTCACTTATTCATTCACTCACTCATTCACTTTAAGATATTGACTGACAGGACCTAATGCCGGGGGTTTAAGTGGAGAGAAAATGTTTTGAGAAGGATGAGGGCAATGAATGTACAAATGCGCTTTACACAATGGATGTGTGTATGGATTGTGATAAGAGTTGTATGAGCCCCTAATAAAATGATTTTTTAAAAAATAAATAAAATATTGACTGAGGACGCTAATCTGAGGATAGGCGCATACTCTGATCTTCCATCCTTGAGTTTTTACCGCTAAGTAAGCTCTATTAATTAGCATGTCATTATTCCAAAGAACATCTGCTGACATCTTATTTTCCCTTAATTAAAAAGAAACAGTTTTATTGGCATATAACTCACAAATCATACAATTCAATAGTTCAGTCGCATTAGGAAGAGTTGTGCAATCATCACCCCAATCAATGGCATCTCACTTTTATTACCACTGAGCAACATATCATGATTTTGATTGATTCTTTCACTAGTTTCTATAGCCTCTGAAACTTGTTCTTGAGTGTAGAGGTACTGAAGTGAATGGGAGAAATGATGCAGTAAAAGAGCTGAGCATAGTTTCCAAGGGCAGCTCAAGAAGACAAAGTAAAGTATTGTAATGAGACATGCAAAGACCTGGCATTAGAAAACCAAATGAGAAGAAGGTGCTCAGTATTTCTCAAGCTGAAAGAACTGAAGAAAGTAAAAAACAACAACCCTTAAGCTCTGAGTTGCAATGTGGAAGGATTCTACGTGCAAAATATCGAATGATGCAGAAAGCATCACAAGAAGATAGAAAGGCAAGGGAACAACAAGTGATCTGAAATCGCTGGCAAGGAGGGTGTGAGAGGCCTGGTAGGGATTGATCAAGGGCAATGTAACTCAGAGAAATTACTGAAACCCAAATGAAGGCTAAGCATGATAGTGGGACAAGAGGAAAGTATAAGGAAATAGAGAAAAGAAATAGGAGGCAAAGGGCATTTATAGAAGTCTAAATACAGTCATATACATATATAAATATATTTATATATGATGATGGGGAAATAGATCGTGCATATATTTATAGGTTTAGTATTAAGGCAACAGATGGACACTGGGTCTCCACTCAAGTACT